CAGTCAGAAGAAGAATCATTGATTGCACTGAAAGCGTTCAAAAACATATGATCGGAACCAATCAATGGCAGAAGAGGTAATATTAAGCGAGCGGAGAGTACTAAGCAAAATGTCAAAGTTAACGCAATCGAATGCACTGCTAAAATCCAGAAGAACCAAGCATATAAGTTTCGTATTATCTATAGCATGACGAATATCTTGAGTTCTGTCAACGGTGCACCATCTGTGAGCAGGATGGAAACCAGGTTGATAAGGAAGAGAGTTAGATAAGAGAAAAGAGTAAAGCTGTTGGTGAGTGACATATTCAAGTACCTCAGAGAGAATAAGGGGAATAAAAATATGACGATATTGATTAAGTGAAGAAGGGTTATGAGTTTTAGGAAGAGGTATGAAATGAGCTCCTTTCTAAGATGCAGGAAAGACATTGTTTTCTAAAGAAAAATTTATAATGCGAGTAATTGGAACATAGATAAAAAAATACTATTTCTATTTTTATAATTCTTGTAATACTTTATTTTTATAAACTATCTTTTACCTTGTCTTTTGCTTCATCCGCGTTATATTTACTTTAGACAAGAAAACAGTAACCAAAATACGCTTAAACAATTATTTATTTACTATATTGAATACAAAATCCCAATTTACAGTATCATGGTTTTATATTTAACAGTGACGGAGTTTCATATAACCTTTACTTTTCTCATTTCAACCCTTTTATCACAATAAAAGGATTAATAAAAGAGATGCTAAAATGATTTTATTTTGAAATGCGACACATGGCCAATATCCATCGACAGTTCTATTCCAATAAGAGCACAGCTGATGATGCGCAGACGCATGGGCGTTATAAAAACTCTTGCGCGTTGCAACGGCTTACGTATTCCGTGCGCACAGACCATACACGCAGCCACACCGTGAATGACCGGTGACGTAATGTAAGACTATTTCTAACCCGACGACTCGTAGGTGTGTAAAAATTTACTATGATGGAACTTTGGGAGCTTGATCTGCTATGCGGCAGTTAAGCAACTATCGTAATGGCCTGTCATAGGAGATGGGTGAACAAAAATTTATTATCTCGAGCTTCGGAAGGTAAGTTTGTTGCTGGGTGATAAAGGCTGCATGTGCAGTTGTAGTCAACCAGTAATCCGTACTGGGCATAATGGTGGGTTACGGGCCGTTCTTTCTATTTTATCCTGTCTATTGGGAAGGTCTGTGCCTCAGCAGTATGGGGATAGTCTGATGACGATAAGTATTGCCGTGAAAAGTCCTTTAGGGTCTACATCCCAAATAAATTATGCATTTGTGTTTCTTATGAAATTTTGAAACGAAAGATACATTAATATAAAAGATCTTTTTTATTTTGCTCTTTAGTTATGGAGAAAATTAGCTGTAATAAACTGATAGACAACCGAACGCCCTGTAGGGGTGACACTTTCCTTTTTTAATACGTAACTGTAGCACTGAAACCATTTCTAATTTTACAGAAATTAAAGATTAGAAATTCTAAGAAAAATTGGTAACTTCACAGTGAAAGAAATATTAATTTGTCATTGAACTTTTTCATACCCACAACACGTTCTTCTCGCATGTAAAATGACGCTCGCTGATCTTGTGTGTCAGCCAAACGATTATTTTATGCTTTAATATGATAATTAATTATACTTTTAGAGTGTCTGTTAATTAGTTTTTGGAAAATTAGGTATACAGCATATCGCTATGAGGTAGAACAAAGTCCATTGACGAATAAAAATCACCGTTCAACTAATTCTCATGTTAAGTCTCGAGTTCATTCGAAATTAACGAGTAAATGATTTATTTTTTTAATTCGGGGAGCTTTGTAAGGTTTTTCTTTAACACTTAAGTTCCTAAACATGACTTATGATATTTATTAAAGCTTTTCATTTACAATTTAAACGCAGGAAAATTAGATTATGGTAAGTAACCATAATTTTTTATATCTCTTAATTATAGATATCAGTATTCATTGAAAATATTAACGGTTATTACTATTAGCAATAGAAATTATTAACTTATTTTTTTTTATTATTGGCTTATCTGTGCATTTTGCACAATTCTGCAAAAGTCAAGTAAATAAATTAATTTTTACATGTAAAATGAAAATGAAATTAATGAAAGGTGGCGATAATTCCCTGTCTACTTTAAACTACAAAACTATTAACGTAACAGTGACTAAGAAAAATTGGCAACTCGTTATTTAAAAGATTCATTACACGTTCCTTGGACATTTTTTATTTTTCATGTTCTTGTCGCATGGTAGATGACGTTATCAATCTTGCTGATTAGTATGCTTTCATATATTTCATTAATTTTGAAAATTAGGCACACAATCAAATGGTAAATAAATATTTAATTATAGATTAAGTAATAAAATTTATTCTTTTTGAAAAATCAGTATCATTTTATCTTACGAAAATGTAACATCGTGGTTGGTAAATCGCTTCATACCCTTACTGTGAAGAGATCGAAGAACTACTAAATGGGTTTTTTGAATTCCTTCCCTTTTCTCCGTCTACCAATTTAAAGGGCCGGGCGTTAATGGTTGCACTTTAGTTCTTTAACAATACTTCTGTTAAATTTTTGTTCTAATAAATAATGTAGAGTCACATAAGATATAATTTATTTATCTCAATTAGGAAATAAATAAAATAATAAAACTATTTCATTGCATCGCAAATCTATGGCAGGGACATTTTACAGAGAATAATGATAATTAACGTAAAAACGGCTTTTCCAACATTAAAAATAATGTAGTCTGGAGTTGACGTATTTAATGATAACATTATTAACTTCTATAAATATATCTATAAGTCTCCTCAAATAACAAACCGAACATAAATTGGGAATTCGAGAATCATTAACATGAAATGTCCTTTGAAGGGTAATATATTCAATTGAATTCTATTTTTAATGAACAGTACAGTACGTATGTACCTAAGAGTGAGTTTATAATATCAACAACAATAATAATAATAACCCAATAAAGGACAGTTTTGATAATATTTTTACACAACTGCTCAAAAATGAGTGCATTATAGTGTTTAGGGTTAAAGTACGATAAGAATTTCTTTATTCCATTATAACTTTTGAAAACATTCCCGGATTATAGGATATGATTATATTAATGTATAGGATATGAGTAGAAACTTTATATCATCCCGAGTGACATAGGCTATATATTTTATTGTATATCGAATATGGCGGATGTATATCTTTAAAAAAAATACGAAAAACACTTTTTTTTAATCTTTAATTAGGAAAGGAAAAAATTAAATTAAAAACACGATTGCCAAAATAGAACTAAAGCAACAAGTTTAAATAAAATTGTCATTGCAATCATGGACCTCTTTGGTAACAAACGTTCCACAGAATTGCATTAAACTTTATTAGATTTTAATGCCATAGAATGTAATAGGACTATATAGGAAAATATGTAATTTTCCTGACTACTTAACTAGATTATCATTTTATAAATTTAAAATGTCGTTTAGTGTCAAAACAGCGTTATCACAGCTGGGACGTATTTTTCGCGCGTGACGTCATAATCACGGCATCGCGTCGTGGCGAGCGTGTGATGTGGTCGTGGCGGGCGGTTGAGGCGTGGTCCGTCCGTCCTGACGTCATCCCTGTTGAAAAATAACCATTCCAAATTTGAATTGCGAATTGGATTATGAAATAGGCATTTTATTTTCAAGTAAAAACTTTTTCGACGTAACTACAGAGTTTTTACTATTCCGTTTGAAAATGGAATGTTATGCTGTCTTTTGGGGCTCGAATCAGTTCGAATGATGAAACAGATGAAAAATTAGAATATCTATAAAGTACATATATAATTTAAGAGAGAATTTACATTTATTTTAAGTAGAACTTTTAAAACATATTGAATTCTCATTTAGTCTGTTTCTTTAAAAAATCCTCCCAAAAAGCAATCTCCTGTTTTGTTTAAGAACCATATTTTTTTGGAGATCGCAATTTGCATTATAAATTTCCCGGAAAATGTTATTATTTTTTGATAAACAAGTTTGTATTTTTAAAGAGTAGGCTATAATTTTCGGAAGTAATTGGATGCAGTTAAGGTCAAGTTTGACTCGCCGAATGGTGACGACGACCTCTGCCTTTGGGGAAATTCCATTTAACTCAAATTACTGCTGCTGACTCAAACCTAACTCTACGTAATGGCTAGTTAAAGTTTCATATTTATTTGTATATTCAGTTTGCTAGGGAAACTCTACATTTTACAATCTATGAATCATATTACCAATATTAATTTATTAAACTTTATTGACGAGTAAAGAATTGGTACATAAGGCAGACTTAATGCTAAACGATTCTCCCTCAGTCTACCTTTAGGAAAAACGATAAACGCGATGGCGGCTTAAAGTAAAATTTGTGAATAATTAACAAACTTAAAAATTCTTGGACCTAATTCTAAATTTAATTTAAATTTAATTATTATTTTATGTTTCTTTGAGAATAACTACCATTCTAAGTGCTTATAACTTATTATGTTACACGTGACAATTTTTAGGTAATTAAGCATTTGAATGTTAAAAAAATACTAATTTCTGATAATTAGGCTATTATATCCTCATTATTTTATGGAGGAACAACATAGAAGAGTCGATATAAATAATTAATTGTAAGCGAAATAAATCACTTAGAGAAATACACCTGTTTTACTAGTATGTAGAGCAAACTTTTTCATTTTTAAGATGATAAGATATTTATTGTCGTGTGTGAATTACTTTAAATTTAAAGCTTGTTTATTTTGATTTCTTATTGCAAAAGTCTTATGACTTTTTCGGCATCACTAGAACGATAAGAGAGTTTGCTATCGTAACGTGTGCTTATTCATGCTGCGGCCGCAGTCGTCAGCGGAGCATCGTACCCCCTACCACGCGTCATCATACATATAACGCCACTAATCCTAGTAGTGCTTACAGTGTATAGTGGAGTGAGAAAAGTGAAACGACAAAGTAAAATGAATAACTTGTTTTTTTAATTTCTCCTTCCAATAACATAACCACTTAACGCTAATCACTACTTAAGTAGTAAAACAGTCTTAAAGATGAGTAGAGCTATGAGAGATCTGGATCACAGTCTTTATGTGAGTTCAGTGTGTCACCGGTAAGGGGACCACCGGGGAGGGTAGCAGCCTGAGGACGGGTGCGGGTGGCGCGCGTTCCTTTGCGTGTCTCTTGACGTGTTTGGCGAGGTGGTCGGATCGCATGAACCGGCGGCTGCACACTCTACAACCGAATTTCTTTTCGCCCGTGTGCGTCCGCTTATGGCGGGACAACTCGTCGGACCGGGAGAACCGTCGCTCGCAGCCGGGCCACGCGCAGCGGAACGGACGCTCGCCGGTGTGCGTGCGAGCGTGTGCTTTTAAATGCGATGACTTGAAGTAGTTCTTTCCACATCCTGGATATGAACACTCGTAGAGACGACGTCTGGCCGCTGGCGCTGGGGCTACAAGCCACAGAGCGGTGGTCGGTAACAGGGCACCTGGCACTAGGACGGCGGGGGCCGGGCGTGGAGCCAGCGGCACCCAGCCAGGTGTCGCTGCCGCTACGGGCGCTTGAGAGATCTGCGGGGTGGGCGGTACTCGCTGTTCCGATTGAGGTGGGGGTTGGCACTCAGGGTGAGGTGAAGGGACACGCGCTTCTTCCACTTTAATGACGGGAGGGCTCACTGTGGGCACGGGGGCGGCCGAGGTCACTGCCGCGTTTTGAGCTTGACTCGCAATGTATTTTGCTTGAGAATATGTGTGGCCGCGGTTCATTTTGAATTTTAGTGTTTTCAGAATGTTCATGTCACTGGGGGGCGGCGGCGGCAGGGGCTCGGGGCTGCAAGTGCCATCCTTGTGCGCACGCATGATGACCGAGGGCCGGCAGGGTTCGGGTGGTGGCGTAGCCAACAACAGACGTTCCAGCTCGCAGCGGGCGCGTTTGCTGCATTCTTCCTCGCCCTCCGAGTCTGATGGCTGTGGTGTCACCACCCCCAGGGGTGGCAACTCCCGAGCACGCTTTACGGCAGCCTTCTTTATGGGCAACTCGATCTGTGGGACAAAGACAGAAGCATAAGTGAACGGTCGCTACCTCGGCCTAGCACGCGCACGATGCGTGATCGCGCTGCGCGCTCTTACCGTGCTTTCGATTGCACAAATGGCACAGATTTATTCGACTGTATATTTCAACACATTTTTTGTTATTAACGGCAAAGACAACTATATTTTTTTTTATTTAATAACAAACAACAAAACTCCATGAAACTCACTTTGTTTTCCATTAAAGGAGGTGTGGACGGCGGTGAGAGAGGACCGCAAAGTTCAAGCAGAGTAGACATTATGATTAAAATTATAACATTCAACGGAATAAAACTTTCTTTTTTAATTCAGAAAACTTATTGTTTTGGCTCGCGTCTCCGCTCTTCCGAGGCGTTCGGTTCGGTCAGCGGTAGGCAAACGTATAAACCGCTCCGCGAGTCGTCGCCGCACGAAGCATGGGTACACGCGGGGCGCGCGGGGGTGTCGGCCAATGGGAGCGGGCGGCGCGGCCGAGTCGACCAATGGCGCGGCACTGATCACGCAGCGAGCGCGTGCCAGCGCGTGGTGTTCACGTGCCCACGGACTGACGACGAGGTCGCACTCCGCGTGACGTCACCGGCGCGCCCCCGCATGACGTAGCGAGGGGCGCGGGCATCGCAAGGTCGCTATTGCGAGCCGCTGCATCGATGACATCCGTCTGCATGCGGTCTTATTACTATTTGACAGTGACTGACTGCTGACGTAGAGTTATTAAATTTGACTTTCTAAATTAGTCAGTAGTAGTCAATGCAGATATTGATAGTAATTTATATTCTCAATTAAATCTTTGAAACATATTGAAGGTTTTTGTGGACGTGTATTCGGTCAGCTGTTTAGTAACCTTGCTTGATTAGATTAAGTGATAGAGTGACTTGGAAATCACGTGGCATTGTTTTTAGGATATTCTATATTTACAAATGTTTACTTGTCTGGTCGGGTGTCTGAATGGAGTGATGGGGTGGTAAAACTGTTGTTACTCTACTTAGAAACTGCTAAGTCGTCAATTCATCATCTATGATAACGACATTTTTTTCTTTACCATATATAAAGTTATAATGTTGGTTACAGTAGGATATTATCACATTAATTAAAACTTTCTTTTTCAAATTAACTATTCTAAGTTGATATTAAATCTACCTACAATATTCTTATGTGACTCTACATTTGGACAAACAAAAAAACCGCAATAATTTAACTATACATGACAATTATGATACTTTAAAAAATGATATTGCTCTAATCGATTTTATGTTTAAAACGTTTTGATATGTAAGTAAAATCATGTGTATCAATTGCACTGAGTTACTTAAACTATGATAAGTCCTAAAGATACAAATACAATTTTATATTCAAACAAGTGGATTTATTTATTGTTAATATTTGTGTAACCGCACGAACGAAACACCTTTAAAATTTTGTAATAAAACACCACGACGCAAAATTTGCGCATCAATTTGTGTTGTGTTCGTACTGTATTAATAAGTATGTAGTGAGTGCGTGTGCGCTGCCTGTGTGAGTGAGTGATGCGTAAGCGCAGCGCGGGAAAGTGAGCGGCCACGCCACGCGCCGTCTGTGTGATACGATACGGTGATTGGTTCATTATATAGGCGGTAGCGATTTCTAACGTGCATGAGTCAGCGACAACATGATCGTCTTTATGCTTACGGTTATTTAGCTAAAGCAAGTAAGATAGTATGCTGCCTATTGCCTGGAGGATTTCACGGGGTACTACACTCCTATTCTCCAGTTTAACTTTTTTGTATGAAATAAAACAAAGAGAAAAACGTAGTCTTCGCTATGTTTCTTGCCCGTTATTCTTAGAACAAGGCCTTCCGCTATATATTTGCTAACCGATGGCACAGTTTTCAATGTTGGCCAATGCATGTAAGAACCTAGGCTGAATAAATAACTTTGAATTTAAATTAATCAAGTGATTTCATTCAATGAATAAATAAATAAAGAAAATAAATCTTTGAAAAATGCTTGACTACTTGCTAGCCGCAATCAATTTTGGATCAATCAACTATCCCCAAATTCTTCGTCATCTGTCTTCTATTCGGATATATTCAAGTGAATGGAAACTTCACTTGAAGTGAAGTAAATGTAGCTAAAGTCACCTAAAATAAATAAAATAGATAATAAAATATTAATAACAGACTTCTTTGTGACTTAAAGATTAAAGTAATTCGTTTTCTAAGAAAAACAGTGAAAAGTAAATAAAGAGGTATATAACCTCTTTTGACAGTGACAGGTAATAAAATTAGATATTGTTTCTGAATTTTCCATTCACTAAAGTTGGTAAGTAATTAATTATTTTTCAAAACCATATTTTAAGGTAGCATCGTGAAAGTGAAATTAATAAAAAAATTTAGTATTTATTTAATATTCCTCGAAGTTTACATCTTATACCACGCCGCACTGCATGTGTGCGTCCGTTGAACTCGGTATGCTTGTGTGCGTGTTTTGTTCGGGAAACGCGCCTCTGCGGTGACGTAGTTGCAGTTACTCATTGTCGTTGCCAGGCCCGATTTCTTTCGTGTTTACTTCCTTCTAGAAAGTACTGTGGACGGTACATTTAGAGGAACATATTTTTATGTAATCACTGATTTTCCTCTTGAAGTTTTTCGTCATTATTTCGTTACTTTTCAAAGTTAATACTATAAATGGCTCCCGCATTGTTTACTTAAAATAAATAGCGAGAATATTTTTCTAGTCTATGAAAATAATGTACCTACCAACAACACACTGGCTGCTATTATATAATATTTTAATGTAATTATCGATAATTTATTGAATACCTATACTATTTAATGAAATGAAAAACCGATAAAATTGGTCGAACAGTGTTTATTTAGATATGATACTTAAACAAGAAATTAAATAAAAAAAAAGTCACAGCTAAGTATATAAATAATATTACAGTAATAGAATAAAGTCAATTAGATATATATTTATTGTTTAATGAAACAAAATTATGAAATTAGAATATCATTCGTTTTTTTTAAGTCCCTCAGACCCGAGAAAAAAAAAAACTATTTTTTTATGCGAAGAAATGGTCGGGAATTGAACCTGGATTTTCAGAGATCGTGTTTTGCTATACTTTGATCGCGGTTTGCAATTTATATGGTAAATCGACTCAGAATCGAACACGAAACTTCAGGGATTGCTGTTTTCGATACTTTGAAATCCGGCGTGCAAGCTACTCCATAACAGAGATCCTTAGATTAAGCAGAAATCGCCTAAATAGGTAAGCCGTAAGAATGAAACCGAAATATTCCTTAAATATAAAAGATTATAGAAAGCTAGTAATTTAGTTATTCTTATTTATCGTGACTCTACATTTATTTTTAAGAATGTACACAAGCCGCTAACGCCCTCTGTTGAGGTGCACGATGATTACGTAGCAATCTGTTGAAATAGCGCGCCCGCTAAAACAACACACTTACAAAGCGCTACGTACTTCATGCTTTTGGATATACGTAATGGTTATATTATGATCGTGTAGATGGCTTTACTTACTCTTGCAGCCAGTGTGTTGTATCTTTTTAAGAAATAGAGAAGCTTTTATTTAGTACCTCTATTTTTACAATTACTTTGAGTTGATTACATTACTGTTGTATGCGTATTGAGTATTTTGATAATTTTGACTAAAATCCAAAATAAAACGCATTTATGCAAACTGTCCTCGCAATGGAAACCTTCAAAGGACATTTTTTTAATTATTGGGTATGATGAGTGATACGATATGACGATAATATTAGTAACCCGATATTACGATATTTTTAGTAATACGATAATTTAAGTATTCATTTATTACAATCGAAGATATATCTCTATGACCGTCGGGCAAACAGACAAACACTGGAATTTTTTAATGGGATTCCGCTGGCAACCTTTAGTATGTATAAAGTAAGATACACTTCACACTATCTAAGAAATTGCAGTCGTAACTAAACAGTACTTTTATGTTTATAAGTTCACTAATCAAAAATTATTTTTTATTTAATTTGCATTAATACCCAAACTGTCAACGTGGATGTCAACTTAAACAGCCTAAAAAACCCAGTTGACGAGATAAAATAATTGGTACGTCAATTTTGTAACAAAACATAAGCTCATTCTAACAACGTAGAAAAGATTTCAACGAGTCACAAACGTATAATTTTGTTTTTAATTCTGAATTATGTTCGACTTTATTTTTTTTTAATTTACTAGATTTTTTATAATTAATGTTTAGTTAAAGATACTATTGATTTATTTTAATATTGACGGCTAACATAAGTCCCCTTCGTTCACCTTGTTTTTTTAAAGTTTTGGTTATTGGGTCAACCTTATTATAACTGGGATAACGACATTTGTTTTGTTTGTCCGTCAGATAGATTGTTGTTTATTTTTCTCGTAATTATTAAATTACTGCAATGCATTGAGTTAAAATGTCACATGACGTCACGCTTAGGTACTCTCTTATTTTCTACAAAAATGTCTGTTATGGAAGCTATTTCTTAAAAAAAAAAGTTTCTAATATTTTTCTAATATCTGACTAAGGGATTTAATAGATTTTTTTTTTTACCCAGTCGTCATCGTTATTCAAAAAGTCAGCGTATGTTACTCTCTATTTTTTGCTTTATTTATTACTATTTAACTGTATTGATTATTTCAATTTCCAAAAGATTGTGCAAGTTTATTTGGTAAGTTTACTTTTTAAAATTTAATATAATATTTATTTTGTAATAATAAAAATTAATTAAAATACTAATCGATTGCTCCTATAACTTCTAGTCTATGTCAATTAAGGTGTCATTCATAGCTACTACTGCCTAGTGTAATGCACTGTACTGAGATAACGTGTACGACGCTTTAATATAACACAGAAGAGAAGTGTGTTCTGTGTTTCTTAATAACTATACAAGTGTGAGTCAGATTCGCACACGAAGGTAACCGTGTCGGAAACGAGCAAAAAAATCACGCTTGTTCTGCGGGAATCCCCTTAAATGTTTATTTTATTCCGGTTATTAGTATTCGTGTGAAAATTTCAACTAACTAACTTTCACGGTGACAGAGAGACAGTCATAGTAATGGGTTTCCCGTTTTACCTTTTGGGTACCTAACCCTAAAAATTGGATATCTCTGTTTTGGTGAAAATACTGGCAAATCTGTTTCCTATGAAAATGAAAAGCGTAATTATTCAAGTAAGCTTATTACAAGTACTTTTGATTTGTCCAATTTTTGTCATTTAGCTGACAAAAAGAACAAACGAAGGACTTACCAACTTTATATAAGAAGTAATGGCATTTACATTAATCATGTCATTACACAAATAATACGTATTATAATAATAAAATAATTATCAATATCTGTAGGACATTGCATAGGTACATATAATTAGTCACTATAGATCAAAGCGAAGGCTTTTATCCTTAATATAA